ACACACACACACAGACAGCCTCTCGACAATACGCGTTTTTGCTGGCTGTAGCAGCGCTATAGCAGCACAGCAAAAACGCATAAAAATGGCCGTGGTCAGAAATACTGTTGGATAATATAGCTACTTCAGTAAAAAATACTTCAGCTTGATTAATATTTTTGGCAATTTTCTCTTTCTTTGATTACCTCGATCAGATGTTTTATCGGATTTTTCAGAGTGCAAGGATAAGCTGGATGCGGAAGACTGCCGCGGTTTTAAAGGCAACGGATACTGTGAACAAATGCCGAAATTTGCTCAACGGGAATGCAGGTCAACATGCGGTCTCTGTTAAAAATGTGATACATAAAAAATGTGAACATATAAATTTCTGTCGAAATCATATGTGAATGGGCAAAGCAAGTACCGAATTTATGATAGTTCGTGTTGCTTTATCTGCTTCCAATAAATACATGCGTTGAAAAATGATCATTTGCATGAATCAAAATAATGAAATTTTGCTCGAAAACAAAACGTACTGACATATTTGCTGCTGCTAATCCCCACCCATGTTATTTCACACCAACTGGTTTATTGTTCCACTTCTAGGATCGAATTGCAATCTCGAATAGATTAATAAAAAGTCAATTGTTTGATATTCGTTTAACTGATAAACTGATACCCGTATTCCTAGCTTGCCAGGGTGTTAAAATGTCTTCTTTGTTTGCCAAAAATTACTCGAGCAGTCGAAGTTACGCTTTCCACGAAAACTTGAAATACCTGGAACAAACTCGAGTGGGGTAGCATACTGCTGTCGGTTAGCGAGGCTGTGGGGACTGAGCTCCGCTTGTCTTCAAATACGACTTCAATGATGTACCGTCTAAAAAAATAGATAAATGTTTTTCCACTGGTGCAGTCTGACCAATGAAGCAAATCTAAAGTAGCGCGTTTCACGTTTACAGTTGGAGAGATACTCACTCCGAGCTTCTTGACCGCTCATCGTCATATTTCTTCTTGCAGAACCACTTAGCCAGTCGGTATGGGCATCTTGTACTGGTGATATAACTAGAATGCTTCTTTTTGCTGGACACAGCTGTACCAGGTCCTTTTATCCTGCATTGCCTATATCCATTGCACGTTTGATAATGTACGCCACATCATCGGGAGCAGCCTAGTTTTTCCTAGTGATTAATGCTTAAAATATCATAAAGCATGAAATAGAACACATTCTCTCCGAAAGGAACAAGGAAGCTATATAGGCTAACGGTCAAATTTTCATGTCTATTCGCGAAATCTGCTTCTCCTGGTCTCTCCGTGGCAACAAGTCGATTAGGTCGTAATAAGCCATCACAGATATGGAACATCTTGATGTTTCGTGGCAAAGAAACTGCTAGCAGATTTGAATCACATGTTAACGATCGCCCCTCTTCCATGGGAAAAGAAAATTTCATTCAGGAGTTTGCTTGATTAACGGCTGTGCTAATCTAAAAAAGAAAAAAAGTTTCGTGACCTTCCTGTTGATAGCTCTAAATCAAAATGCCTGCCCATTTTAAAACATAAAAACTTTGCATCAGGCGGTCTGGGAGGTCAAATCAATGGTTCTCGTCACTTTTGCTTCAATTTTTCCTCTGGGCAAATGCGAAGTTTGCATCAAATCTG